CTAGGTGGCATAAATCCTGTATCCTGCGCAACACCACAAAAATATTTTTCTCAAGAATAATATCATGATAAATTATTAAGATAACATGGTACTTAATGTAATGAAATTATATAAATTTACCTTGCATCAACCACCCATAAACTTAATAAAACCACACATAAGCTAAGCTTGGGCTCCCCAAGTTTTAAGGTGACTGACCACTAGACTCCTAACTTTATAAGGTGAGATAAGATCTAGTGGGTCTCCCTTGGGACTATAAAGCAAAGACTGAGCCACCTAAATAAAGGTCAACCAACCAGAACAAAGCCAACCAGACTACACCATGACCAATTAGCCATTTGGGATGAATTTATTACCTAGGGGCTAGGGACGCTAGGAAGGGGGCCTAGATCTAGAGAGTGGCCAAAGGCTATGTGAGGTATAATTTTGTCAAAATTGAGGTCAACACCTTCCAATTAAACTCTGGATTTAATATCTATGAAATTAAACCAATTTAACCTTGGTTTATCTAATTAAACCAAAAAAATTCATTTATCATAGTTGGAACCCTAAGGAACCCACTTTATCCATTTTAGTTTAAATTACAAATTTGATTAAATTGATTTAAACAAACTCATTAGCTGAGTTTCCCATACTCAAATCAAGCCAAATTAATTATTACTTGGACTTAAATAAGTTTGACAAATGAATTAAGAAAAATAAATAAGTTTGCAAACTAACCCATTTAATTAACTTTAGTATGATAATTAACTTAACATACTCATTTTCTTTGCATCTAGATCAACTTTCTCATTTATAGTCTTAGTAGTTCTATTTAGTTTCTTATAAACTATCTTATCTTGATAATGATACATATCTTCACAGTTTTCTTCTTCATAGTTTTCTCAATTCACTTAATATTTACTTTATTTAATGAAGGCCTTCCAATTGATGGTATTCTCTCAATATGTAAGGGAGATTTTCTCATGAATTTATTCATAATGATTCTCTTATAGCTTGTCAACGATAGTGGAATTAGTGACTTTAAATCTATTTATTTTGAAAGAAGACATGATAGGCCAAAAAAAATCTTAAAAAAGAAGAAGAAATAAAATAATACCTAAGTAATAATAATAATAATAATAATAATAATAATAATAATAATAATAATAATAATAATAATAAGAAAGGATTCTATTTCCAAATTATAATAACTTGTTCTTACATTTATAATGCATCTCAAGATTCCTAATAATCTCAGAGTACATAGGGCAAACTCTCTACATTACTCATCTTATCATTCTCAAATTCAAAAAAAGGGAAAAAGATAATAATGATACAAATATACAATAATACTCATTTTGAACAAATTAATCTATTATGAAAATCTATACCACATGTAAGGAAATTATTAACTAGCAGGCCAACTTAAGCCAGTCATAATTCACAACATGGTTTGTTGAATGCCACTAAAGCATAAAAAAATCTTCTATTAATGAAATAGAGTTTTGATTAAATAAAATTAATATATCAAATCTAGAGAGTCAATAGTAACTCAACTGATACAACTTGTTCGAGTAATATCCTAAGGGAACTCTTCAACGAATGGAGCTTCCTTAAAAACTATCCCAAGAGAACGCTTTGTATGACTTCAACTGATCTTTTTTAGTATACTTTTATTGTGGAAATCATTTTATGAACATTTAACTACCTCATTTACAATACAAAAATGATTAGATTATATATTGACTCATGCTTCATACTAGTCTTCTTATTGCATCTATCTTTATTTGTACCTATAGTTATGAGTAAAGTGTCCAAGCATATGGATCACAATTTGGAAATCTAAAAGCCTTCTTTTTTTTATGTCTCTAGAAATCTTTTTCTTTATTACATTGAGTTTGCCTCTTTAATAGTGATCCAACTTGTCCTATAAAATTTTAGGTGGTTTAATTAAACTCAACATGATCTAACTTTTAATGGAATTCTCAGCTCCAATCTTTTGCCACTTTTTCCTCATCTTTGTGTGTTTTTATTTCTCATGTAGAATCTAGAATAGGTTTCGTTAGACATGTTTAAATTCAACACAACTTTTTCCTCAATTAGAGTAAAATTTTCCTAAATACGATTAAGTTTTGGCGGCAATCTTAGGGAACTTAAACTAAGTGAAGAGACGGTTTTTTCATACATAATCCTTCATTATCTTATTTTCATCTTTACTTGGACATTGTAATTATAGTCCCTCTATATAATGTTAAAGATAAGATATCAAATAATAATTTTTTAATATACACAATATGATTCCTGCATACATCATCTCCTACCTCCCTTCGCATCTGCATTTCACTCTCACTTTCATTATTACTAACCAACAAATTTTAAAAATTAGTCTAAACCAACTAGCCCAACCGGTTCAACTGTGGACCAATCCTCCAGCTAGTTTGGTCTAAGTGTAACTTGAATTGTTGAACCCATCTATTTTTTAAAGAATCTTATGATTCTAGTATTGATCAATTTGTTGATTTTATGACTCTAATCAAATAATCAAAAATAAAAAATTTGATTAAAAGTAGAAAAATTAATTAAAGTATAATTTTCCAATATTTAGATTTTGAATCATATTCAAACTATTTAATAGTGAAATGCCCTAAGCTAGAATATTATATATTGAATCGATGAAAATATCATTAATATATCATATTATCTAATATAAGAAATATTTAAATAATTTGAATATTTATTATATCATTAATTTCAACCTCTATTCAATTTTGATTAAATCATCCCACTCTGAACCTCCCATTTTTTATCTTGCTAACAAATTTCATCTCCCCTTCCAACATGTATTATTATTATGACGCCGCCACCATCTCACTGTAACAAATTATAAAACTTCCTCATCCTTTCTTATATGGTCGCCATCATTGCTCTGCAACATGACTGTCGCTTCCTCATACCACTTGTTTCTCCTTATAATGTCGATATGTCATTATCCTTCATCTCATAAAAGCATGTTTGTCGGTACAATCAACACTAATTTTTCTTTTTTATATATCAACAAATGTATTAGTGTATTTGGAATGCAACAGATCTCGTTCAAGGGATCAAATTCGCTAATCAATCTCAATATCAGCTAATTATCATTATTTGTTTATTAATCAGTTATTAACCGTTACTTGATAATAGATTACATACATAATGGCCCCTTTCGTTTTAAATACCCTTCACGTAAGATTCACATACATACCACTCAATTATTATGTATTTACAAATTCATCCCTCACTTTCTTTAAAGCACAAGAGTTGGTTCCTTGTTTCCTCATTTCCCTTCACCTCACCTTCACCTCACCATCCAACTTCTTTTGCTATCAAGAGAAATCCTCTTGAGAGTTTAGCCTTAAAATCATTTTATTGTATGGCAGTGAGGCTTCTGTCTCATGAGGTATCCGATCTCTGCATCGGCAAGCCAGCCCTGAGAGTGT